CGTTGTCTCTCTCTGTCAAATTAATAAATAAAATCAAAAAAGATTTTATTTATTTATTTGACAGAGAGAGAGAGAGAGTGCGTGAGAGCAGGAACACAAGCAGGGGGAGTGGGAGAGGGAGAAGCAGGCTTCCCGCTGAGCAGGGAGCCCGATGCGGGACTCGATCCCAGGACCCTGGGATCGTGACCTGAGCCGAAGGCAGACGCTTAACGACTGAGCCACCCAGGCGCCTTGGACCTATAACCCATTTTGAATTAAAAATTTTTTTATTTGGTGCAAGGTATAGATGAAAGTTCTTTTTCTTTCTTTCTTTCTTTCTTTCTTTCTTTCTTTCTTTCTTTCTTTTTTTATATGGATATCCAATTGTTCCACTATAATTTGTTGCACAAACCATCCTTTGTCTACTGAGTTGTCTTTGCCTCTTTATCAAAAATCAGTTGTCCAAGGGGCGCCTGACTGGCTGTTGGTAGAGCAGGCAACTCTTGATCTCAGGGTCAAGAGTTCAAGCCCCTGTTGGGGAAAGAGCTTACTTAAAAAAAATTATTTTTAAATTATTTTTTAATTTTTTTAATCAGTTGTCCATATATTTGTGGGTCTATTTCCAGACTCCATTCTATTCCATTGCTCTCTTTAATAATGTTTAATGTGGGTCTATTCCCAGATCCATTCTGTTCAATTGACCTCTTTATGTATGTTTATGCTAATACCGTACTGTCTTCATTACTGTAGCTTTGTACATCAAAACACTTTTTGTTTAAGATTTTATTTATTTATTTTGACAGAGAGAGAGACAGCGAGAGAGGGAACACAAGCAGGGGGAGTGGGAGAGGGAGAAGCAGGCTTCCCGCAGAGCAGGGAGCCCAATGCGGGGCTTGATTCCAGGACCCTAGGATCATGACCTGAGCCGAAGGCAGACGCTTAACGACTGAGCCACCCAGGCGCCCCCAAAAAAGCTTTTGAAATACTAAGTGAGTTTAGCCAGGTTGCAGGATTCAAAATTAATACACCAAAATCAACTATATTTCTACATATTAGCAATGGCCAACTGGAAATTTAGAGAATTTTTAAATACCATTTACAATAAATATGAAATACTTATGGGGCAAATCTGACAAGGGATATACAAGATCTGTACACTAAAAAATACGAAACTGCTGAGAGAAATTTTAAAAGACCTAAATAAATCAAGTAATATCCCAGGTTCAAGGATTAGAAGACTCAATATATTTGGCTATTCTCCTCAAATCTGTCTAGAGATTCAATATAATCTTGATCAAAATCTCAGCAGGCTTTTTGGAGAAATTGCTGAAGTGCTTCTGAAATTCATATGGAAATGCAAAAGACTCTGAATAAAAAGAACAAAACTGGAGGACCAACGTCACCTAATCTCAAGCCTTATTATAAAGGCAATGAATCTTTTTTTTTTATTTTAAAAATCACATATTTCACTCCCAAGACTGATGTTTTATTCTTTGACGGTTACTTTTTAGAGCAGACTTTTCTTATTTTATGAATGCACTACCTTCTTGGTCTTTCTTAGGATACTAATTTGGTCGGTTTTTTTTGTTTTTTTTTTTACATTAGAACTTTGTCTTCACCTTTCTCTTTCAGGGTGTAGATTTTTCATTAAATGCCCAATGGTCCTTGGTAGTCTAATCAGATTTACAAATGAAAAAATAGTAAGGCTTTGGCTAGACTCTCTGAATAGAGTGTGTGTATGTTTACATGTGTTAGGTAAAAATGTAACAAAATAATAGCTTATGAAGTTTATTTTCAATTTTCAGAGTAATTGCACAATATTTTCTTACCTGATCCTCACAACAATCCTGGAATCATTCATGACTGGTGCCATCACGCCCACTCTATAGATAAGGCAGGGAGAAATGATGACTGCAAGCCAACAGACTTGGTGGCAGACCCAGATTTAAGCCTGGTTTTCTACCTCCCAATGTGATCTGCTTCAGGAACTCAGGAAGCAGGTACTAAGGGAAATGGAAAGCAAGCTCCTTGGGAAGGGGAAAGTGGCTGACAGCATGGACAGTGGACCCCAGGGGCCACCCCCAGCCTTGCTATACAGCAAAAGTGTCAGCTTTGGGACTGGCTCAATGGCAGGGCCTTGGTTGTCCCTACTGTGTGAATTCTGGGGCTCCACTCTGCCCAGACATGCTGTTTAATCAGTAACTAGACTGTTTGCTTTTATAACCCTACTCTCAGCTCCATTCTTAGGCATATTAGAGATCATCTTGTCTAACCTAGTCACTTTATTGATAAGGAAACTGAGGCTGACAGAGAGGGAGTGACCTGTCCAAAGTCACAAAGGCAGTGAGGTCAGAAAGCAGCAAAGCCGAGACAAGAGCCATGTCCTTCCAACCCCACGTGGGGTTTCAGGCCCGCACATGATCCATCTGCCTCCAGAGGAGGGGGGACAGGGAGCTCCCATCCACTAGATCTCCACTGCATACATAACCATCTCTCTGCACATACCAATCTCTCTGCAGGGCCATAAAGCCAACGGGAGACAAAGTATGCCAGTCCCTGCTTCTGCCTCTTCTTTCTCTCTTTCATAAAAGTAAACACATCAGCAGGTGCACATAAAATCTCAGTGCTGTGAAGCCAGGTGCTTGCTTATCATGAATAGAGATAGAAGCTACAAAGCTCTTGTGGCCAGTTCCCACTGGCCAGCTCAAGTTAGATCACGGCCAGAGTCCCCAGAAACACAGGATGGCTCAAGGCCAGCTCAGACAAGAGAGCAAGGAATGACCTCCCAAAGGACAGATGCATATAAAGGGCTTGGAGTACACACACACTGAAAACCAGGAGGATTGAAGGGGTAGAACCCAAGGGACAGACTGCAGGGACAAGATCAAATTACCACCATTTCCGTCCAACTTCCTGGAGGGAAACAGAGGAGGTACAGTCCAGAAATCCAGGGACTGTCCAAAAGAAATTGACTTAGAGAAGGTATGTGATGATATAAGAAAGACTCTTGCAGTCACCGGACTCCCATCAAGTAAAAAACTCACCAGACCTGAAAGCTAAATGCTAAGCAAACAAAACCTGGTGTTCAAGTCAACCAAAAAAAAAAAAAAAAAAAAAAAAATCCTTCCACTTTGAAAGGAATCTTCTCCCAGGTTCCCTGTCACCAGCTCCAACTCTCCAGGACCCACCCTCTCACGGGCTCCAGGGACCAGCAAATCCAAAGCCAGAACCTGCCATTGTAGCTCAGAATGTGCTCCTCACTAGAGAAAAGGCAACTGGTAAGTGTGTACATTTGTAAACAGCAAAAATAACACCAACTAACCAAAAATCTACACAAGATTTCAATCAGAACGGATGGGGGAAAAAAATTAATCTTCACGCTAGACTTTTTTTGTTTGTTTTTTTGAAGATTGTTCCTCATTTGGCTACAGCTGGGTGGGACCTGATGGGAAGGCAGGGTATGAAACTAAACACTAAAGAAGTCACTCAGAGTCCTGGGATGACATCACACAACAACTGGTAATCTGCTTCTGCTGCTGAAGGTCAAGATCAAGGGGCAGAGGTGATGTCACTGGCGGGAGACACAGGTGTTTTGCTCCGGCCTGAGATGAGGACAAGGGTGGCTGGCTTCATGTGACACCATCAGCTCTGTCGCCGACTTGTGGCAGATGCTCTTCGCCTCCAGCTTTGGTGGCTAGTGTACCCACCGCCAGATGAGCTGGGTCCCAATTCCACCATCCACCACACAGCACAGTCATGCAAACATCCCTCAGATTGTTCAAGCAGGAAAGGACAATAGTCGGAGCCTCTGCAATGGTTTTCCAAGGTGAGGAGGTATTCTGTAGCACTCGAAAAAGCCCTCTTTTGCAAGGAGCAAGACAAAGCCAGCGTATCTCCCCGGGGCCACCCCCCCGATGCCGGTTCGAGTCTAATCCTGGCCAAATTCCCCAGAAATACAGCATGGCTCAAAGTTACCTGACACAACAGGGCAAAGAATGACCTCCGAACACGAGCGCTGTGTTGGTCATCCTGGGCGATACTGAGCACAGACATGCACAGAACTGACCCACCAGAGGTGACCCTGGAGAAAGGCCTCTTTTTCCAGTTGCTGATTAGGAAGGGAGGTGGGTCCCTACGTAGCTGGGCTCTCTCCAAACTCAGCTGCTGTGGACCGAGAACGGCCAGCCCATGCACAGGCTCCCCGAAGGCAGAGACTCCCCAGTGACCAGCACAGAGAGGACACTTGATTTGTTCAGCACCGGGGGGGGAATCCTCCACCCACCCAACCACGCTGAGGCAATCGATCCCACAGAAGCTAGGAGTCTCAAGAAACCCACAGGAGGCTCCAGTTCCCATGATCATACCACTTCAGCATTTCCCAGGCTTGTCAGGTCATGAAAAATCATAGAAGAATAAAATAAAGCAAACACAGGGCTTGCCCGGCATCCAGATTCCCAAGCCCCTCTCCCTGAGATTCTGATACAGGAGGTCAGGGGCAGGGCTCCGGCATCTGGAAGTTTAACAAGACCCCCAGGTGATTCTTAGGAACCTGACAGTTCAAGAGAGGCTGCCTGCCATCTTGCAGAGGCTGCCTGCCTGGCTCACCCACTTCCCATTGCTGTGAGGGGCCCGCGAGGTTGAGTCTCACCTGCCCCATCTTAAACAACCACCTGCATGTGAGGAACCTGCTATACGGGCTGCGCTTTGCTTCTTGCCCTGGGATCCTCCCACAAGAGGGTCCCGGAATAGGGGATCAGCGTCACCCCGAAGTCGCTGAGGCTGCCACCAGAGCTCCTCAGAGAGGCGCACTCCCAGCTGAGGCCTGGTCAGCAGGCGGTGAAATCCCTAAACCCTTTTTGGTGCCCAACCCTCTCACCCTTGCCCTTTGACCCCGTCCCTGTCCTCAGCGGACACACCAGAAGCAGCTGCTGGGAAAGAGGTGAGGCTTCGGGGCCCCAAGGAGGATCCAGAATTACCTGTGGATCTGTGACCATCTAGGGGAGCAAAAAGCTGACCCACAGCCAACAGTTTCTACCTGAAGGAAGTAAATCACAGCTCTGCTCACTTGGTCGGAGCAGGAAGGAAAGTCCCCTGGGGCCTGACTCAGCCACCGTGGGTGCTCTGTCTGCACTGAGACCCCATAGTGCTCTCACGGCCAGTATCTGGCTGCTTCAGGTGTCCCCCGGTGTCCCCTCGCCAGACCCTGCCCACACAGCCACGGGTTGGGGCCACACACCCCCACAGCAAGACCCCACAAGGGAATAGAAAACAGACCCACAGATCCAAATTCCTTCTTTCCTTTTTGAGGGGTTGGGTTGGTCATCACCTGGATGAGGGGTCGGGCCTGAGAACCCTGAGCCACTGGGGAAAATATTTCTCACTGTGCCTCAGTTTTCCCCCTCTAAAAAGTGGGTTAATAACCCCTTCCAGCCTTCTAAGTAGAGGTGTTGTAAAACATAATTAGCTGGTTCCTGCTAATGACAGAGGCCTCCCTACTATCGTCCTTCGATTCTCATTTCTCCACCCACAGTCCATCAACCTGCCTAAATTGACCAAGGCCCATCCCTCCCTCTGGTCTCGTCGAACAGCCGGAGTTCAAGTTCAAATATCACAGTGAAACAAACAAAACAACCGTGCAGCCTCAAAGGTAGCCCGTGTCCCCTGCCCTCTTGTCACTTGCCCCTGACCAAAAGCACCAGGAAGGCCTTGTGCTCCCTTCCCAGCACCCACCCCTCCCATCCTGCCCTCTGAGGAAGGCGGGGACTGGCCTGGGGCAGAGAAGGGAGCCCTCCTAGGGACCTCTGCACCCGCCCACAGCCCAGAGGCGACTCACCTAGCAAAGCCATCAAGTCTGCCATCTACTTATATTCTAGGCCTCGGTCTACATGTCAAGTTTCCGGTCATTTCCAAAATATTTTTTAAAACATGAAAATCCATTTCAGGGGCGCCTGGGTAGCTCAGTCGGTTGAGTGGGTGACTCCTGATTTTGGCTCAGGTCATGATCTCAGGAGTCCTGGGATCAAGCCCCACATCGGGCTCTGCATTCAGCAGGGAGTCAACTTGGAGATTCTCCCTCTCCCTCTGCCCTTTCCTCCCCCTCTCAAGTATATAAATCTTTTTAAAAATCCATTTCGAATGCAATTGTTTGCAGAACCTCAAAATAATAAAATAATAAACAGACTGGTTCAAGTAGCCTCAGGACCCAGAGGGTATCCAGACTATTCCTTGAAACATTGCCTTCAAGGTCTGTGACAGGTTTCCAAGCCACGGAGTTAGACGATGCCTAACCCAAGGCCTTCCTGGGGGCTACAGGAAAGGGGTCAAAGCCCACAGAGGCTCTGGGGATGCCCTGATAGTTGCCAGGGCCCTCACCCCCTTCGTCCACGTGCCTCACAGCTCCGGGAGGGATGGAGAGGCCACCACAAACATATTCATGATTTCTGTGTATCTTTGTGCTCCGTTAGGGATTTTAAATACAAATTATCTCTAATTCCTAGAGTAGGTTTCATTTCCAGATGAGGAAATGCATAAAGGAGGGTAACATCAAAACCCCAGACAGCTAAAAAGTGGCAGGGTGGGATTCCAGATTCCAAAGCCGGTGTTCTCGAGGGGTTCGGCTATCATCCCTTCTCCCCCAGTGTACAGACAAGCACACTGAAGTGCAGAGAGGAACCACCTTAAAGAACACTCTGCAAAACTCCACCTACGACAGAACCCGTGTCTGGGGCCCAAGAGGTGAGAGGGCTGGCCCAACGCTATATATGCATTTCACCCCTTCAACACTGGTCTAGGGGTGTTGACTCCCCCCACCTCTGACTTTGCCCCCAGCCAGGAAGCCCCCCACACCTGTAAGGAGCTGGGATGCTGCCCCCATCCTGCCCACTCAGAATGGCTCTGCTCTCCTCACCACCTACCAAACCCACCTGCCCTTGAAAACACAGCCCAAGGCTCTGCCCCTCCAGAAAACCTGCATGGACCACCTTCACCTACAGTACTTTCTCTTGGAACCTCACCTCCCTTATGACCCGTACCAGCCACTTGGCATCAGTGATATTCCACTGCCATGCTAAGACCAGGCAGTCCTAGGGGGTCAGGGTACCCCCGTTTCTTCTTCATACTGCTTCTCTCCCCAACCCCCTCCATGACCTTGCCCAGAGGTAGCACCTGATTGGTTGGTTGATTGAATGAGGGACCTCTTTTTCCCTAGCCACACTTGGGTAGCCTACCCAGGGCAAGCTGGGAATCTCCCAGGTGCCAGGGCCCAGGAGTTTCCAGACTCATATCCCAAGGTACCTTCATCTACCTGGAAGGGGACAGAATCGTCAGTCTACACCCCAGGGTTCTTGTTGACAGCCTCCCAAGCTCTCTGGTGTCAGACCTGGCCTGGCCACCTGCTTTGGGCAGCCCCACCTAAGTATGGACTCTCCCAGCCTCTCCCTCTCCAAGTCTTCAATTAAATGTTCCCCCCAGGACACAACCTCTTTTGTAATTCAATCTCTGCTACCAGATCAGGTGGCAGTGAGCACCACAAGCAGCCCCTGCCCTACCCCAGGCTCTCATCCTCCTCCCGTATGCCAGGGCCCGGGTCCTTAATCTCCTGAGATCCTCTGCCCGCCCCTCGCCTCTCCTGCCCCCCCCCCACCCGCCCCATGTCCGCTATTCAGGGGGCTGGTGGATCCGCTGGCAGCAGCACAACCAGAGAGTACACCCGAAGTGAAACGAGAGAGCCAAGAGGTGAGGGCAGGGCCATGCAACTCTTTTCATTCTTTTCCTCGACTTCTCACTGAACCCACATTCTGACTTCACAGGCTAGTGCTTTTTTCATTTACTGCATTTTTTTTATTGAGAGAACTAGGTTCACGTGCAGTTATAAGACATAACACAGGAAGACATCCCTTGTACACTCTGCCCAGTTTCCCCCAACGGTAACGTTTTGTAAAATTGTACTATTATACCAC